TCGATTCCTCGTTGTCAACATTCGGCCGATAATACGTTCGACCAAGATCGATAAAAGGTAGATGATATCTATTCCTTTGGATCAATAGCTATCGACGTAACATTTAATAGTTATTTCCTCCTATTATAACAACGGACAAATCCGAAGAAATATTTCGAAGAAAGAAATCTGAATGGTGCGTTATTGAATAAAAACGAGCGGAAGTGCAACGCCGAAGGGGAGAATTTCGATGCAATTTCCAATGCATTTAGCAACGATATTTCCGGCGGAGCTATGCCTATCTTTGTCGGCAAAAATACTCGAGTACTATTTCCTTTCTCTCTCTCTCTCTCTCTCTCTCTCTCTCTCTCTCTCTCCCTCAATGCATATTTCATGCGGTTTCCTCTCGAGCGAATGTTTGTCCGTTCCTAATGTCGTTGGAATTCACTCGAGTCGTTTGACTCGGACACAAGATTAAATTACCGCAAGATAGTTATATCTACTTATATTCCAGTCAATTTACCGTCTGCATTTTTCTTCTCGACTTTTGTAAGAAACTATTCCGAGATGAAAGTGTCTCGACTTTGTACTTTGGTATATCGAGAACGAAGGAGAATCAATAATTCGATGCGTCTGTGAAATCAATCGGTGCAATTTGAAATCCATTAGAATCGATTTCTTCGTCGAAGGCTCGAACTTAGAGGTGGATGAGAGAGAGAGAGGATGCGTGACGTAGCCGCTGGCGCTTCGCTCTTGGTGGTTTCACCGTGATTACGATCCAACGATGTTGAGCACATCACGAAGACATAGTCTCTAAAGAGAAGCTGGATCGTTGGTTGATCACGAATACCGGGAATACAGAGTGTTTAGTCCAGATAAGTAGTCCGATCGTGGTACTAGTCTACTAAAAAAGAAGACTAAAAGAAGAATAAAATGAGAGGTGACCGAAGTCGGTAGAAAAATCGATCGGTCGATTAACTACGATTTCTATGTTTTCCTATCTCTTCTGCTCTCTAATTTGCTCGGGGAAGCTTCTAAAAGAAGGGAAGAGAAATAAGCGGAGAGGGAGAGAGAAGGAAAGAAGGAAAAAGAAAAAAGTGGTCTTCAAGTTCACCGACAGTCATATCCGGATACTCTTTGCTTTTACTACGATGATAGCAACCATCCGGTTTCTATAGGTGAAGTCCCATTTCCGCGTGCGAGAGAGAGAGAGAGAGAGATAAGCTTCATGTAATTTCGTTTAACCCTTGAACTCCGTGGTTGACTTTCAAAAATAGAAATTGAAATAACGCTTGACTTACGAGAATTTCTATCATGTGCAAATAAGCCGGTAGTACTTCGCCCGTTAATTACCATCGTGCTACTACCATCATGATCCATCTTCTAATCTTTTAGCACAAATCGCGGCACAAATCTATCCAGACAACTGGTAAGGCCGCTCGTCGATAATCCTAATAAAACGAAAGGAAAGTATTCTATAGGTGCCTAAGGAAAAAGTTCAATCATAACTTCCATAAATAATAATATCTTTCGCATGAAACGTAAGATGACTCTTCCTTTGCTTCGTTTTACGTTTAATTATATCAGAAGATGTTGAAATCTAAAGAGAAAGTCTCGGCAACGCACATAGGTGACGCGCGCACGTTAAAAATCATCGAAGTCATCGGTACATCCTGATTTTGAAATTTTCAATCCTCATTTAATAATCCGTTTAACGAAAATCCGGATTACAAAGCGGAAAACTTCTTCCTTCTTCCCTTCTATTATTATCGGAGCTATATTTAATACAACGGTATCTTTGATTTTTCGTTACAATTCTCGATTAGGGAGAAAGTATAGCGTCGATTTGATTAAGGTACTCGCCAAGGTACTAAAATACTCGTATGCGAGCGAGACAGAATGCGGTTCTGCAGCTTTGTAGCTAGACTATAAACGTGATTTTCCCACGTGCCTATAAAAGTAGCAATTTCAGGTGATTCCATACGACTTGGAATGAGTGGAATTTTCTCAATACCTGCCGAGTCGATACCTGCCTTTTAGGAATTCTTATTCGACGATATTAAATCAATAATACCTAAGTCTAAGTTCAATCGAACGTTTAAGCGTTGCTCGATGCTACGAGCAAACAAATATCCATTATCGTAAAAATACGTAAATACGTAAAGAATAAAATTTCATCTTATGCGATACGTTAGAAGCCTATAAATAGCCATGGAACACGGTTGACGTCTACGTCACATTTTTCCCGTGTCATATTTTTCTCGCGGAAAGAACCGTTAAGGACGAGAAGAGATTTGACTGACTGGTTTTCTGTTAGTCACACAATAGAAAACGAACGGTAGATATAGGGAAGAAGAGAAGAGACAATGATCGACGACCGTGAAAGGTGTCCCATGGACGAAAGGAAGGATAGGACTTGATGTACAATGCAAAAGGATAAGGAGATAGAACGATCTAGAACGGAAGAATCGTTGAACCGGTGATCGCGATTGCATGTAGGCGAACGACTGACTAGCTTATCCCGTTTATAGGGAACTGTTATATCCATTGGCATGCCGTCGCGTCTGTCCTACTCCACTGGAAATACCATATCTATCTGGCAATGCCAATGACTTATGCCGAGATAGTGAACAGCACTACGTATAAGTCATTAAAAATCTTTCACTTCCAAGCGTTTAAAGTAAAATTCGACGAAACGAATTCGATTTGAAAACGAACTCGTTTTACGATCTCATTAATTCGATCCTAAAAGCATTTCGATTAATCGTAGTTTCGAATCAAGAGGAATTAAAAACAATACAACAAGGGAAAAAACGTTAAGATCGAAGGATCAGTTTTGCGAAGCAATTACTATTATTATTACTTCGCTCTAACGGGTAATGAAAATCACGAAAGAAATTGACCACGTACGCAATGTCACTTCATCGATACTTACTATTACCTCTCTAACTAGGCCACGAATGCAGTTCATTTTCCATAGATAGTTTCGCCTCCTGTCTGTTTTCTTTGTCGTTAAGTATGTGTGTGCACGTGCGCGCGCACGCGAACCCGTATAGCCGATCGTTGAAATTCCATTAACCGGACGCCTTAACGTGTTATAACGGTCGAATAATCTTCATTCGTGGAGGAACAGATAGAAGGAAGTAAAGAGATTTTACGAGATTTTATTCGATTTGAATTTACTCTCGATCTCGTCGTACGCTAAGTTTCGAATGCTCGAGAAATCCTCGTTATGCTCGAAGGTGAGGAACAATCGTGACTATCTCGACTGCTTTGCTTTCACTAATTTCAAATACTTCGTCGAACGAAAACGAAGGAAAAAGGAAGAGAAGAGAAAAGAAAAGAAAAAATGACGAAGAATGGAAAAAATTTACGATCGAATGCTCGATTAAACTCTTTTATTACGCCGAATTCTTCGTAAAACTTATACTCATTGGACTTGAACGTAAATAAAATGTGGAAACAAGTCGCGAGTCGAAATTTCGAAATTTATACGATCGCGATAACAAATAAACCTTTGTGGAATTGTTAAAGCAGGAGAATCGTTCGACAGGTGAAATGGCGCGAACGAGTCGAGGCACAACGACCATAGATTATAAAAATGATTGCCACACGTATGGCAATTAGTCGCGCTTGCTATAATTATATAGCAATTATTTCCATAGCCGTTCGATCGTCTATAAAGCTTCTTATTATTTTATCGCTTAAAGTTCCTTTTATCGGGTATTAGATATAGCCAATGGGATTAGAAATTTATTTGCCATTTATTTGCGAGAAAAAGAAATGTACAATAGGAGCGATACGCGCGAGTTTCAGTAGGTTACCGTTACGGTACAGTTTCCCCCCAGGAATCGAAAGTATTACTCTTAGAATTAATCAATTTTAGAACGCGCCTTATTATATATCCTTCGAGCGTCCTCAATATTCTATCATACGTATATTCATTGTTAATATAAACGTAATTCACGATTAATAGAGATACGTAGAGATAAAGTTTTTTTCCTTTTCATTTGGGATGATTAATTGTAACGTTTAAATAATCCATGATCTTCCATCACGCTGTATAAAGTCAGATTACGTTTAAATATCCCGAAGCAATTTGAATGACGTCCGATTTTATTCCGTAGGACCACCAATCGATAGACACGTGACGATGCCGTTTTGATTTATGTAGAGAGACGCCAGACGAGTCGGCTACGTCGATTCTACGAAAACCGTTATTCATCGTCACGTCCTATTATCGCTTCCCGTTAATTTTTTACAGAAATTTCCAACGCGTGAATTTATACGCGGGAAGGACGACGGTTTCGCTTACGATCGGTTCGATCATAGAGCTCCAAATACCGTTATAACAAAATTCTCGACTATCGTCTTACGAGGCGGATGAGAAAGCGAGAGAGAGAGAGAGAGAGAGAGAGAGAGAGAGTCCAAAAGCCAATATCAAAACGCTTCTTTGGAAATTTATGGGTGACGTCTTGAGAAAAAATTTATCGATGTTTTCCTTATTGTTTTCTTTCTCTCCTTCGTTTCCTTTTTCTTTTCTTTTGTCTTTTTGAACAACGATATTTTTAATTGAACCTCTCTCTCTCTCTCTCTCTCTCTCTCTACAAGCTGTTTCCTCGCACATCACGGAATTGCACCGTTCAACGTCGTCCTTGTCTTCTTCCGCACGTTTGACACACTTCACTGGATTATTCGTGCACGCGGCACTTGACGTGCCAAAGACGCTCGCCGATAGGAAACCGATCTCGGCCGATAGGAAAAGGCACGAGGAGAAAAATAATAGGATGAATTAGTGAGATTACGCGATAGTCGAAGGAGACGAGAAAAAGAAAGAGAAATGCTGCAAGTGTAATCCAAAGATAGAAATCTTGATGGAGAACCGAGAAGAATATAAATGGAAGAAGCAAATAATTCTCGGGAAGCGAGGACAAAGCGATGGGGAGCAAGAAAAAAAAATCGTGCAAGGCGCATAGAAGAAAAGCGGATAAGAAGGAGCTAATCGGAAGAAGATGACTCACCATTCTTCCTATTTGCGCTGGACTGCGAGATGCGTACCGTGGCCATTGGACTGAGACAGGCTAGAAAAGCCGCTAGTCTTAGGACCGTGTGTAAGTCTCGACGGAACCCCATAACTGAACGTCTCCAAATAATTCTCGTATCTTCTTCTTCTCCTTCCACCGATTCTCTTCTTCTTTATTCCCTTTTCTTCCACTTGGCGATAATAATACGACGATCGGTGAACCGAGTCGATTCACGCGCGCGCTCGCGCGCGACTTCTACTTTTGCTCTCGGAGCAAATCCCCGATGAACGGAGACTTTCCTTCCGAAGCGTACTCGCTGAGGCACTGGCTCAGAGCCGACTGAGACGTCAGTTATAAACTTTGTGCCTCGTGCCGCTCGCTCTTATATCAAAAGCGGTCGCTCTCCTCGAGAATCGTCGTATCTTAACGAAGAAGTATTCTTTCTCTTTCTCTCCTCTAAAGCCAGTTTATCTCCAAGTTGCGAACGTTGCTAATTCGTTTTTTCCAAAAGGCTCTCTATCTTACGAAGATCGGAGAAACGAATGATAGATACGGAGAAAGGTAAAATCGGTCGTAAGTGTAGAGGCAAAGCACTCCAGGCGAGAGCGTGAACCTAGCAAGTTGTCTTGCGCTAGAACCTACCCAAATCGGTCGATTCCAAATTTAATTTTCCCAAGGAGAGATGTATTCTCCTATGGATCCCCTATCCTCAACCTCGGTACACCTCGTTACGCTTGCCTTTTGCACACCTATTTAAAACCTATCGCTCCACCTCGAGCTCCTTACGATTGGCTCCTGCCCCAATTCCTTGCCCAATGGTACACTCTCTAGCACGTTCACCTCCTTTTCAGATGGTGGAGCACTGCTAGCTGTCTGTGCGAGAGAGAGAGAGAGAGAGAGAGAGAGAGAGAGACGGAGGGCGGGAGGGAGGGAAAGGAAGCTAACGGGGAGAAAGAGACAGCCGTGCACGCATAGCAAGCTAGAGAGAGAGAGAGAGAGAGAGAGAGAGAGAAAAGAAATGTGTCGAGGAGGTGGTAAGCTTCAGCAAGGTGGTTGAAATCGAGAGTAGGTGGTTTCGAATCTTTGAAATCGTCACCGCGCCGTTTGACGATACTCGTAGCTTGGCAAAAGCGACGCTCGAGGTTTTCCCTTCATGGAGAAGGAACAGGAGCGGAGACACGTTCGTGGCACGGTGAAGGTGCCTTCGAGGTGGGGCTCTATCGTACGACCGAGATATATCGACTCCCATTCGCGCTCTCTCCTTGTCCTTCCTTCGTTCACTCTCGCCTTCCATTTCAGCCGATTCAGCCTTCCTGCGCAGCATTCGTGTTCGTGCACAAAACTGCACAACACGGCGACGCCACGGCTGAACGAACTCACGAACACGGTTCTCTCGGTAACTCGTCGACAGACCCAGTGTACAGTGTCCGCTTCTCTCAGAGAACGAGAGAGATACCACGAGAGGAACCGCGCGTGGAACACGCGTGGAACCGCACGCTGGGCGAACTTTCAACGCCTTTCAATTTCGCGCTTGCCGCACCAGAAAAAGAAACGTACGTTATTGCGATAATAATCCTTCCTGATATAAACTTTGACAGAGCGAAAGGGTTCTATGAACTATTCCACTTATAGATAGCACATTAGTAAGCGATTCGTTCGATCTTTAACAAGCGTCCATTGATATTTTAATTCTTTAATATCTCCATTTTCCTCAGAATCGACGACGATCTTCTCCTTTAAATGGAAATTCGATCGATCTCTCATATCTCCAATTAGTATGAAATTTCAAGCGGGTCGAAATTTTATCTTACAAGGGCATCGATCCTTATCGATATATTAAACATCGCGATATTAAAAACCGTTAAACAACATGATGACAGTTTCGTTTGTCGTCGATTATAATTAAACGCTGTTATCGTTTAAAGCTTGATAAGAGAAAAATTTCTTGATTTCGTAGACGAATTGTTGGCATCGTTAATACAAATTAATCGTCATATTAATCCATACGTCGTGAAATTAAGTTTGAAAGGAAAAGTCGAGTAGAACATAGGAGAAGGAGAAGGATACATATACGATATATAGGAATCTCTTTTTCTCCTGAAGAGAAAAGCAAGCGAGCGGAACGACACGCTCGGCTTTTGCCAAGCCGAGTGCGAGTGAAATGCTATCGTCCTGGCACGCGACGCATTCTAATAGTCTCGCTCTATGCTTTTCTATCCTCCTCTCTCTCGCGTAAATATCTACTTGTGTTTCCTTTCTACCACCTACACACACGCGCGCGCTCTCTCTCTCTCTCTCTCTCTCTCTCTCTCTCTCTCTCTCCTGCTACAAAACAAGGATCCCAACTCACCCGGAAGACTCCTACGCACGATCGATTCGAAGATTAGAATCTAAAAACCGATAGCGAATTCGCTAAACGCGTATACGATCTACATACGTCTCAAAATTAGAGATCGGTCGATTGATTTCGGACACTTTCCAATATTCACTTTGACCGACAAATAAGTAGCTGCCTGGCAATTGGAAATTTAATATTACAGGTAAATGGCCGCGAATAATTTTGCTCGAAATGACATTCGGCGAAATGAACGGGGTCATAGATAAATACATATTCATGAGCAAATTCGTTATCCTAATAACTTTTATTCCCTCGTGCGATATTTTTCTTCCGCAAGTACACTTTGGCGTCTCGTCTATCGGCAACCTGTTTCGAATTTCTTTCTTTTTTTCTCTGCACTAATTTGAAACTTGTTTCTACCTCGACGAGGACAAGCTTAAAAGAAATTATTTCATCGTTTTTTTTTTTTTTTTCGTTACGAACGTTAACGCGTTTGAATTATCTTCGAGCAGTAGCATATTCCCACAAGATATCCCCCGTCTACACATCGAGATTAAATTTTGCACTTTTTTCCCGTTAAAAAAATAAAAAACTCGATCGAGCACGGCACGGTCGCGAGCAACGCGATCTGTCTTTCTTCTTTTCCACTTTTTCCCCTTTTCTTTGTTCTTTGTTATCGTGAAAGTCTCTAGTTCGTTGCGAAATATGTTTCTGGACAGGTTCGTTTTAATCGTTACGTTACTTTCGGGAAGAATTTGTCTTTTGTGATCTGCGATCCGCGAATGATTACGTAAAACCGTTCTTAGGACCGTTGGTTTCACAAACGAGCTTCTTTTCTTTTTCGAAACTTATAAACGGAGAAGAGCACAATACAATCTCGTCTCGTACTCCTACCTAATCGTCTACTAGCTCGTAACGCCAGCTATAATTATTCCCTTTTTACGCACCAAGCTCGTCTATTTTTTATCATCTCCTTTTTCTTTTCGTTTAAAAGCAACGACCCGTTATTTCTTCGTCTCATTATTTTTTTCTTCCTTTCGTTTCCCTTTTTTTCCCCCATTATCTGAAAATCATCGTTGAATAAACCTTTAACTAATAAGCCTTATTATTCGACGATCGATATTCCGTAAATCGTAACGACGATCAAAGTTGATAAAAGAAAAGGGAAGATCCCGTAAAAGAGCTAATTGAAAATCTCCATTCGATCTTATCGGTCGTCCTATATCGATCCGGCTATTGAAAGATTTTGTATCGATCGTTCTGGGTAAGATCGCTTTTTCAAAGCGTTCCGGTCACCTGGCTTTAAAAAGTAAAAGCGTTCGAAGCAGCAATCGTTCTCGCATACGAGAACCGATCTCTGTTCCTGGCACCATTGTGAATGCGAATCGTGACTATTTACTATCGATCCTATGATCGCTTCTGAATCGAGAAGGTGCACGGACAATGACGTAAGCTATTGCAGAATACGGGGAGAGCAGAGACCGGAGATCAAATGTGGAACATAGAGCCAGGATGAATGGAATTCAATGGAATTACGCCGAGCCCTTCCGATGTACTTCATATCGAGTATTCTTTATTGAAACTCGTAATTAAAGCGGAACTTTTACACTTGACGCTGAGACGGACAAATTTTTTTATCATGCGTCCGTAATAAAAGTTAAAACGGCTTTTAACTTTTCTCATTATTGACAAACAAATAATATCTAATATTGTCTATCGGGTACTATTCGGAGTGACTTAACGTACAGATCGCGATATCTAAACGAATCAAAATTCCTCTCGTTCTCGTAATGATTGTCTTTTTAGAATGGATTGCTACATTTAAATCGAGCTGCCACTGTCACGTATCGCGTGTCTTTAACAAACGGCTATTTAAAACGCCGATTTCGCCTATTTAAACTCGCACATTCCGTGGCATTCTATTCTAATGTAGATTCTAATCGCGTGCGATACTCAAAGGATAAGGCACTCCTTTGACTTTGGCCGCGCGTTCCACATTTCATATTTGTCGATAATTTTTAAAAAGAATATCGCAGTTTGAATTACGAAAAATCCCTCACTCAGTGATAGATTATAAATTTATTGGGATATGGTCGCGAGAAAAGGAGAAAATAAAAAGGTGCCGTTCTAATCGGTTCGCTTTTCTTTGTCGAAGAAAAAGTACGTGAAAATAATATGCGCAGAATTAAAATGCCGATTTGCGAGATCAGGACATACAAGAATAACATTATCTACGGTTAACCGATACCTTTAAATATCGACGTACACTGCCAACGATCGAGAACTGTCCATGGGGTTTTTGAGCGACTTTCTAAAACTATCGCAAACTACGAACTATAAGGCCGGGCACTCGCTATAAAGTTTTTACGAGAGCCGGTTATCCAATCGCAACAAGGCGTACCTTTCGATTTAACGGTTATACGAAATTAAGCTTATCGTTTTTCTTGCGTTAACGGACACGTCACGATAGGCTGCCCCCGAGTGGGGCTGTTCCGCGACTCGTCGATTCCAGCTAATGCCAGCTAATCCCACCTAATACTGGCTAATTCCAATCGAACCGATCGACTTTCCATTCTCATTCGTTAATATTCAATTCCCATTTCTACGATGGGAGTTTTTCGTTATAAAATTTCGCACGTGGAAAGTGTTATATATTTAAGGGGAAAAGAGAAATGGACGAAAAAGGGAAAGGAAGTGGATTTGTTGATAGGGCTAAAATCGATTGCATTAGTCGTTTTTCACGACGTGATTCTTCTTCGTTCTAACGAACGAGATAGCCTTTCGTTATTATACGAATTGGCCACGAATACGCCACGGGGAGTCTATACACGCGTATGGATTTAATTAAGTCGTGCTATAGTCATAGATACGTTTCGTAGCTGTCAACGGGAAAACGATAATTAACTATAGATAAATCGGCTTAGAGCTCGCCTTCTATAGTATCATTTGCCATTCACGCTGGATACCGGGTTCGCCAAGTTGATCAAAACCAATAATTTCCCAGATCCAACGGATCGTCGAGGTGTTTCAAAATGATCGAGAGAAAAGAAATTTCTGGTAATTAAATTCAGACGTACTCGTCTCTCTCTCTCTCTCTCTCTCTCTCTCTCTCTCTCTCCCTCTCTCCCTCTGTTCGCGCCATATATCGCGGCCTTTTTTAAATTTATAAATAATATGTCGGAAGAGACGTACTGTGTTTATGCATAGTGGCTCAATACAATCGCTTCCGCATTACGATATCGCGTCGCAATTAATTAACGAATTATTATTATTATTATTATTATTTACTTTATCTGTCTTGTTTTGGCGCATATCGTTAATTACGATAGACTTTGGTCGCACAATATCCACGAACGACTTATATCGCAAACAATATCTAAGTCGGCCGAATAAATGGCCGATTGGACTCGAGCGGATCGATAGCGTGTAGTCAATATAGCTCGAGTAAAAACGCTTGTGCGGTCTCCTCGAACGAAAGCGAACGAATTTACATTTAAATTTAACGAGAGAAAAAAGCGTATAATGGTCGTGTAACAACGTGACT